AGTGATAATCCCGATGAGGTGCTGCAAAATTTTCGTGAAATGACCGAAAGATGCGAGCAGCTTGTAGCGGCGTTCCAGTACTCATTTTCTAATGTTGTGCTTGCTGAAATTATAAACAATGCCCCTAACCCAGATGAACCGATTCAGGGTCGTCGTCGTGAGAGACGACGGCAAAGGCAAGGGGGCGGGGGGGAGGGGAGGGGCATGGTCGTAGACGAGGGCATGGAATGCAACCGCCTAATACAGGGGCACCTGTTGTTTTAAAAGAAGATGATGCTAGGGATGAGGACGAGGATGAGGGTACGGAGAATGAGGTTAGGAGGGACAATCTATTACCCGTTATGAGTAGTCCCTCTTTTGGCGCATTTGCAGGCCCTTCGAGTAGTTCGCAACGTGACCTTCAAATGACTAATATTGCATATAGTTGCGAAGGTACTACTAGCAGTCAAATTCCATCATTGTATTCCCAATTTGGGGAGTACTCACCATACACACAGTATGAGAATATTACATTCGCTGAACCTTCATTCCAGTATCAGAGTTTTACGACCCTGGCGAGTGCTGTGTACGATCCGACACAACAGGGGTCATCTTATCAACATGTCCATCCTCAAACTCAAAATTATGAACCTCGTCCCACGTGCAACCTAATGCCTTATGACCACCAAATAATGCAACTTCAAAGGGCAGAGCCCTCGAGTCAATGTGGTAACCAAGATCAAGAAAACCAACAAATGCTCTGTCGACCAACAAGAATGAGCCGGCCAACCAGGTGTGGAACTGGTTCACGACATTATACACACAGGTAATAATACATATATGCAATTTAACTTAGTTATATTTGTAGTGAATGTTGACTTTTAACATAAATTCTTTCACTTGCAGGGATCATTAAATATCATGGATGAATAATCATAATTCAAACATGTATTAATGACTGAGTTAGTGAGATCTGTTTGATGTATACAATATCATAAATTATTTTTTCAGCTGTAATTTTTTCAAAATAGTACATTATCATTATTAAATTATTATAATATTATAATATTATAATAATTATATCATTAATAATCAATCAATACAATTACATAATATAATTCATGAACCAATAATTAGTAATTATTGTTACATTATCCTTTAATCAGTTGTAAATCAAAACAAAATCATTAGTAATCACAACACAAATATCAACACGAAAAAATGACTTTGATTTTTTGAAAACAATAACAAGACAAACAAAAAGGAGTTTTATGCTTTTAGATAACAAGACAAACTGAAAGGAGTTATTCCTTCTTTTGTCACAATTCAAAATCTGATCCCAATTGAAATCCATTTTGATTTTTTGTCACCATCGGAGAAAGCACCCAAAAAAGGCATCAGGGGCACCCACTCGGCGCGTGCAATGCATGTGCAATCTGGGTGCATGAATTCATTTTTTTTTCTAACATCATTGCTCTCTACTCCTCTTCTTTGATGACTCTCTTCGTCCATCCAGATCTAGACATTCATGACTATTTTGTCATTTAATAGATAACCACCCGTTATCCATCAATAAAAACATTCACCAGTTGTTATCAATGGTTTTTTTAATCCTAAAATAAAACAAAAAATTGTATTCATAGGATCTATATAAGTATTAGGATGACATGTGTTAGCCTAGTCAACGCCATGTCAATGGTAACCTGCTGAATAATTAATGTTAGGGTCTAATTACACTATTTTGTTGATTTAAAAAACTTCATTAGAGTTTTTTTCATTAAGGAACTTGATAGGGATTGTTCTCAATCATACCGTACCATAACGAATACATGATCGGTACCGGGTCTACCCACCTTGTGGAGTCCTACCCGAGCTTGACCGACCTTTTTTTGCGCACTTGCCTGACTTGTATCCCCGACCATATTGGGTCGGGCCGAGCATTCGACCCGCAGTACTTAGAGATTTACAGATAGTTCTCTCAGCCAAATTCAGTAGCGGTGCGCGCGATGGAGTCAAGAATCTTTAAACACATGGAGTGACCAGTCAGGACTCCGACCTTACCCTGTGCATGTGTTCCACGTGCCGCACATGCCGGGAGATCGGCGCGTGTCCCCTCATGCCTCCTATAAATATCACATTAAATACGAGAGGCTAGGGGGATTGAGGGGGGGATTGAGGGGGGGCTTTTGGCACTTTCCACACACTTACCTTTAGCTTGTAAACCTCTGACCCACTGTCATGTAATTCGAGCGTAAAGACTTAAACCAACAAGCAGACTAGAGCAAGATCTCTGTACAATCCGACCCCCTTACCTTACAAATTTGTAGGAATCTTCGTATTTACAACATTAAAACCTAATTGTACTATTAATTAGATTTAGGGAGGCAATTTGATGCTTTTTCGTTTTTTAGAAGAATGTTTGAACAGTATTTGCAATTTCTATTTTAAAATGATTTTTCCGACCAATCAATCGTTACAAAGTACCTTAATTGAGTAAGAAAAAATTACTTGCATACTTGAGTAAAATAAAATGTTCTCAAGAGTCTAGACATTTGTCTAGTGAAAAAAAAAAAAAAAAAAAAAAAAAAAAAAAAAAAAAAAAAAAAAAAACTTACTTAATACTTGCTCACAACGATAAGATGGGGGTTTAATTCCTGCTGCAAACATTGGAGGTTTAGGTTTTGGTTATTCATTGTGCGCAAAAGTGTACAATTTTGTAATTTATCTTCTCATGGGTCTGGGTAAGTTTTTAGGTTTTAAAAGTAAATTTTTTTTTTTTTAAAAAAAAAGGTAAAGTAAAATGTTTGTCTAGGGTGACATAATTTAGAAGGCCACAAGTGTCTATTAAATACATAGGGTAGTACAATAAATGGATTTGCATGCAACTAAAATTCTATTTTTGATATACATTCACCAGAACTTTCGTTAGGAGCTATTCTCCTTGTCTCTTCCTTTGTGTTTTTGGTAAGGTTGCAAAAAACGTTAAGCGCCGATGGGGCGCTTAGGCACCGATTTTTTAATTTTATTTTTTAATTTTTTTTAATTTATTATTTTTTAAAAAATAAAATTTAAACTAAAAAATTTTAAAATTCAATAGTAAAACATAAGGTTTTTCTAATTTTTTCTTACAAATTATTGACGTAAGTGGTTGTAAAATCGTTTTGAATATTGTTGAAACCATCTAAATACATTAAAAAAATTAAAATAAAGAGCAAAAGAAGCATTTTTTGGAGAAATACGCAATTTGAAAAAAAAAATTGTCCAAAACGAACAACCAAGTCAAAAATTATGTCTTGCCAAAGTTTCTCACTTTTCAACACAAAAAAAAAAAAAAAAAAAAAAAAAAAAAAAAAATCGGCCGGTTCAGCCGGCTAGGCGGTCTAGGCAGCCGCCTAGCCGCCCAGCTGCGGAGGAGGCCGATTCCGGCCGAATCGTCCGTGGCCGGGCAGTGCCTAAGCGCGATTTTTGCAACACTGATTTTTGGGGGCGCCGACAAATACAAATTTGAGTAGCCTTCATTGGTAATTAAAGGTGGACATAGGAGAGGAGAAGAATGTGGACTTATAAATACTACATTTACTCCTTTTTTTTTTAATACGGTTAACTCTATTACAATAGAGTATCATACTTTCTCAACCTACTGAAACATAGAGTCAATAGCACCTCCACTGAGAATCCACAACCTCCCATGTGGAAGTTCAACTTGGTGTCATTGGACCACAAGGTTCTTGGTACTCTTTTTCTTTAAATTTATTTAATTGTTTACTTGTTACGTGGGCTGGTATGTGCGTACCATGTAAGCTGTCTGAACATTTCACAACTTTCTCTTTCTTGTTATATCAACACATGAAACGATGTTGATATAGTAAGTAAGAAGTCTCACTTAAAATTTATTTATAACGACATGATGAACATTTAATTCTTACATGACATTGGAACTTTGGGTTAAACTATTTTGCAAAAAATTGAGATTAAGGATCTGTTTGAACACTTGAAAAATGTTTTTCAAAAAATAATTTACAGAATTTTAGAAAACTATATTTTTTTGTTTGGATGAAAGTTAAGAAACTATATTTTTCTGTTTGGTTCATTTTCTTGAAAATGAAATATTATTTGCTATAATAATAATAATAATAATAATAATAATAATAATAATAATAATAATAATAATAATAATATGTGGTGGTGTGGTGTTAGTGATGGTGGTGTTGGTGACGGTGGTGTTGATGACAGTGGTGGTAGTGGTTGTGATGGTGTTTGTGGTAATGGTGGACTGATGGTGGTGGTGGTGGTGGTAGCAGTAGTGGTGGTGTTGTGGTATTGGTGGCGTGGCAGTGTGGTGGTCGTCATGTGGTAGTGGTGGTGGTCGTCATGTGGTAGTGGTGGTGGTGATGCTGTGATAGTGTTGGTGTGGTGGTAGTGATTGTCGTGGTGGTTTGATGGTCGTAATGGTGATAATAATAATAATAACGTAGAAACTAACGTAGAAATATCTTCCAATTAAAAAATTAGGAATACATTTTTCGCTAAATTGAACATTTTTTCCATTGACCAAAATGAATATTTTCTTTTGACATCATTTTTCTTGAGTATCCAAACATTAAAAAATTGAGAAAAGTCCATTTTCGGGTTTTCAAACCAACCCAAAATTCTAACCAAAAAGATTGAAAGTTGGACGGTAAACTCGGCCAAAAGATGACTACCGAAGAGCCCGGCACGCACAATCCTATCCTATCCGAGTCCAGACAAAGGCCTTAAAAGAGAAATGAAAGGAGATTTTTAGCATTTTTCCTTTTCATTACAGGAAAAGGCAATGATTAGTAATGTGGCAGAAAGATAGTTGTATGCTTGCATGGCCCAGATAGTTTGTCCTCTAGCACTAGCACTAGCACTAGCAGCATTCACGCTTGGTCTGTGGGGTAATGACTACCACAATTGATGGAATGTGTTATCCCATTTTCTCTTAACAAACCACTACAACAATGAAGAAAGTAATAATATCATTCGACAATGCAGTAAAGTTCAGTTCAAATCCTTCACTTCCCTTATATTAGACGTACCAAAAAAGAATGATTTCACAATGATGAGTGTACAAGAAACTAGATGATCAGCAACATTGTCAGATTCACCCATGCTCTCATCCATCATCCTAAATCTCAGGTTTACACATGAATCTTGTATCAGGCACATCAGCGTCCCTTTATGCATCTCAATCAACACACGAATAAACTCACTGCACTCCACTTCCATCGTCTAACAAAGAGTGTTTTTGGAGGATGGCAACAGTCTCTTCCTCGGCACTGACACAACAGCACAAACTCTTCAGCATTATGCACTTTCTTCATAAAACTTAGAGACTTTTTATGTATAGACCGTGTATTCTGTAAGCAACACAGTGAATCTTCTATGCATAGGAAGCCTTCGGCTACCATATTTTCTGGTCTAATCATTTGTTTATTTACAGACACAAACATTGTTTTTAAGGCAGACTTTCAAGGCCAGGTGCCACTGACCACCTAGTCGCCTAGGCGATGAGAATATATATATCAATTCATAATTTAGCATTTTAGCATATATACATATTCTCAAATCCCAACAATACGTAAACTAAATTATGCAATAATTTAGCATTTCTAGCATTGGTCTTTAGATTTAGCCTTCATTTTAGGATCCGTTGATGGATCATAATTGGGGTTATTTTCATTCTCAGCCATAACCTGTCATAAAACAAAGTAAACAACCACTAAGGTGAGGCTGGGAGGGGGGAGTCAGTGTCTCAAGCTCTCAACTACGTAATTGTATTAGTAGGGTTTTTTTTTTCTTTTAAGGTGAGGCGACCGGTCTCCACCGACCAGACGCCGACACAAACCAGTTGGTTTGAAGACTAGTGTAAAGTAAAGAATTTATTTGTAAGTTCGAGGGCAAGTTCATGACGGCACAAGTCTTTTATATTGTTAATTGGTAAGTTAATTACTCTAAACCTATATTCAATCAAACCTGAACTTAATAATAATAATAATCCCAAATTATATGCATACCTCCCAGGTCTTAAGATCTTGTACTTTCCTTGCTTAGTGAGATCCACCACCGTTGATCCTGCTCGCCCAGCTGGAAGTACACCACCATCATAGATGTAGGCACAGTGGCTCCAGAGGTTCTCAAAATCTCTGATGTTGATGCTACTGGGCTGTCCGCTAAGGTTTGCACTGGTAAGTGCAAGTGCACTTCCAGAATGCCGGGCAATAACTCTAATAAATGTATTATCGGGCACTCGAACCCCTATGCTCTCAAGTCCGGGGTTTAAAGACTTCTCAAGGATACTTGACTCACCTGCAAAATATTGAGAAAGTTAAAATTTTGGGTACAAGTACCTTCTGCTAGAATTACCAAACTAAACAACATGACAAGGTACAAACCTCGTCTTAGCACGACAGTTACAGGACCAGGAAGGAGACAATCAAGCAAGCCATGAGGTAAATGATCAGTGATGGCGTATTTTTGTATGTCTTCAACATCACCAACACAAATTGCCAGGGGATTTGTATATTTACGACCTTTGATATCATATATACGGTTAACGGCCTCAGCAGAACTGTAATACCATACAGTACGAAAATGAATCATGAAATATATCATGTATGTATAACAAACTTGATGAAGAAAAGCAATATACAATTTATTCAACACTATTTAGTAAGAAATAAATTAATGTGCACAAGGCCACGAGTTCAAATCCCAGCCTTCTTGGTTTGAGCCGGTCAGCTATGGACAACCTAGATTGGTTAACCTCCTTGTGGTCCTTTGCCAGCTAAGATCACAACGCGGAGTTTACCCATGTACACTCTCGAGTAGTGGTTGCGGGTTTCCCTTGTCACCCCAAAAATAAATTAATGTGCCCTCAATCTGGTTTCTTGCATATAGCATTATTTAATGGCTAAAAGATCAAATTAGCCCTTAAGGTTTGCAAAATCTGTCAATTTGCAAAAAAAAAAAAAAAAAAAAAAAAAAAAAATTCAAAGATCTGATCAAATCACCCAGATTTTAACAGAATTCTTTAACTCTGTTAAACATAGATGACATGTTTGAGCATTTAGACATGTCACTGGGTGAATCCAAATTAATAATTTTGAAAGCAGAAATTAACCCCCAGGAAAAAAACAATCTCGGTAGCTCTCTCCCCTCATTTCTATGTCACCGCCCCAATATAAACAGTAAATTCTTACTGTACATCTATCAAACATTATCCTACACATGTAAGCTATCATTATTGTAATTAAAAAGTGTAATCATTCAATTACTTAATTTCACTTATGCAAAACAAACATGATAGCTTGAAATCACCAAGGACTAAATCGTCAAGGAACTGCTTCTACTTCAAGTGCCAAAGAAATAGTTATAGACTAGACACTGAAGATCCCATTTGGGAACTAGAAATCCCAATCCAAAGAAGTTTCTGAAATCTGAATTCAATACCCAACTTAAGAGAAACAATAGTAAAAGGACTTATTCAACTTTCACTCTTTATAATACTTTATGGGTATACCTATATCATTGAATGCTCTAACCATATTATTGCAGTAACACCCCACTTTCCTTCTTGTACTTAACATTGAACATCAAAAATGAAAAAATGCACATACAAAAAATACAAAAGAGCTGAACCTAACTGACTGAGCATTCCAAAACAGAAAACACAATGCACACATAAACAAATCAATGGAGGTAAAAAGTTCCCAAATAAAGAAGACAACTCCAAAAGCAAATTTTCTATTAACAGGGCTATAACATACAAAAGGAAGTTAAAAAAAACAGGTCAACTTTGGAAGGAGAGGAGTGGCATTTACCAAGCGTCACAAGCAAAGCCATAGAGCGTGTCGGTGGGGACAGCAATAACATTCCCAGACTTGATAGCTTCAATTGCAGCTTCAGCATAATCCTCTGTTGCTGGTTGCACCATTCCCATCCTATTAGTCTCCACTCTCAAATCCATCTTGGTTTTCACACTAACCCCAACCAAGCTCCTCCTCTTGCGCTGCCCCAATTTCACAAACCCAAACTTCCCAATCACCCCTGAAGAGTGAAGACCCACATATACATACAAGAATCTTCAGTACAAACAAATAAGCATATATCCAGGATGCTATATTTTCAAGTTAAAAGTATTATACGAGAGAGTGGTAGAACCTGGGGAAGGGAGGATGAAGGGGCTGAAGAGGGGCAGCCACTGGGCAATTCTTATGTTTTTAGGGGTGATGTACATCAGCAAACTCTGCTTTCTTCTGAGAAGATATTGACATGCACATTCAAAAACAAGTCTATGCCCTATTTTGTTGGAAGATACTAAATAATGATGCTTTATTTACAAGGAATCAAATAATTTACCGTAAATACGTTGAAATTAAAGACAGAAAAAGGGTTTGAGAGGTTCTGCTGCTTTAGGTCACAAACAGAGTTGTCAGAATGGACCTGTGGGGCGATCCAATTCCAACCCACAACCCGCCATAAGGCACGATTTTGCAGGCGGGGCAGGCTGAGAAAACCTCAAATCAACCCAACCCACCTTGGGCTGCAGGTTGGGTGGGCCAGCCCTCCAATAATTTTTAAAAATAATAATAATAAATAAATAAATAAAATAGCCATCTATCATTTATCTTCAAAGACAGATGTGCTCACTAATCATAAGATGTCTGGAAATAAACTGCATATCAGCAACAAAACCATAGACACTGTCAAATAAAGAAACAACTAAACTTTTTGAACTGTTGGTTTCCATTCCCTCTAAGTCTCTAACTGCAGGTGTTCAATCATCAGGCAAAAAATATATGACACTTACACAACAACTAAAAAGGTCCTCTCAAAGCAAACTTTTGGGGATTCAACTCAGAATCCTGTTACTATGAAATCCAGTAAATTAATGGTCATGCATGCCTGCATGGCATAGCTTGTGTTGTAGACTGTAGATGACTCGAACAGTCAAGGGGTCATTTTTAATTACCCCATACTACATTTAAGCAATCCCTTTTAGCTTTCTCACCAATAAGTTATGGACACCACAAACAAATATTTCTTATGCATCTCACAGAAAGTATTTACAACTCAACCAACATAAATAAAGCAAAAGAGTGATATTTTGTTGGGATGGAAGTGCAAGATAGAGATATAGGGAGATGAAAATAGTGTAAGGGCAAGCAAAAGAAGTTCAAGCAAACAACATCACATATAAACAGAGACAAACATACTAAAATTAACACCCATAATTTCAATTGTATAGACATTAGTTAGCATTTGATTAAATAACTATATCCCATGCCCTGAACAGAAATCTAGTTTAAGATTTAGAACAATTTTTATCATTAGAAAAGCTAATTATAGTCATTTACTCATCTACCTTGCAGGCTGCGTCTCTACGACTCTGCGAGGGTGACGAGGCTATGTCGCTGGGCAGCTGGGTGCTGGCAGAGTGGCAGCCTGCGCCACTAGAGTGCTGGACGGACTGATTTTGAAGGCGGGCGCTTGCAGGCGGTTTTCCTGGAAGTCTGGAACTGGGAGGATTTTGGTGGTCGACATACTAGGGAGCTTCGCTGGAAGCTAGGGCAAAATATATAATACAAATTGGTACACATTATAAAATTCACCACTTATAAATGTTTATTTTTAATGTATTAAATTAATTTTTAATGCATTATAAATATATATATACTTTTAGGTATTATATTAAAAATAATATTATATTAAAATAAATCTGCCGTACAATAAAAATAATCATTTAAAAAATAACATAAAATATATTAAAAATAAAATTTCTATTTCTATATAATAAAAATGAACATGTATATTAGTGATCCACCTCACTATATAAATAATGATTCACGGTATAATGATTGAAGTTAAGCCAATACATTAAGGTGAATGAGAGACACCAACCATCTTTGTTTGACAACAACACCCGCTAAGACTATCTCCAATCAACACAGCAAAATGCTAAAATGGTGTGCTTTTTGACGCAAAATCTCTGCAAGGTACACGATATTGCGGCAAAATTTTGTCGTTTCATGAATAGTGCAGCGCCATATACGCTGCACTATTCATGAAACGCCATTTTTGTGCAATAATTTGTTTTCCATTTTGCCCCTCTTTTGTTCTTGGCATAGTTATCATGGCGTCGCCTAGGCGACGCCTTGGCGTCCTGTCGGTGGAGACAGGACGCCTGGAGGCTTCGCCTCGCCTGAAAATGGTGAGGCGAGCTCCGGCGTCGCCTAGGCATCCCAGAAGACGCCAAGGACGCCGATTCGGCGTCCAAACCCATAAACCCTACCCATTTTTAACTTTATTTTTTTTAAAAAAAATGGTATCACTGTGTCGGCGACTCGAACTGATAGAGAAGAAGAAAGCCAACCCAGTGACCCACAGCCACCGTCGTCGCCGTCCCACCGGCGTCGCCCTCCCACTGCAGTGGGTCGTCATCGGTGCTTCTTTCTTCGTCTTTTCTCTTCTTCTTTCTTCTCCCACCGCCGTCGTCGACTACCATTCTTGATTTTTTTTCTTCCTTTTCCTTCTTTCTTTCTTCTTGGCTTCATCGTTTTCAGACTTATTTACTTTATATTTACTTTATTACTCCTAGAAAGTTGTAGCCTTGAGAAAAGGAATAGTTTTCTGCTTCAGTTTGTAAATGAAAGCTACTGCAGCTACAACTTCCTAGAGTATATAATAAATAAGGCTGCCTATTTCCAACAAATATATATATATATATATATATATATATATATATATATATATAATTAATTAATTCTTCCCAATATATATTCTCATAATAATAATAATAATAATAATAATAATATTATTATTACTATTATTATATATTACTCATCGTCTAGGCGGGCGCCTAGTCGCCTAGGCGACAAGGCGGTCGGGGAGCGCCGCGACTTAAAAGGGCGCCGTGATAACTATGGTTCTTGGTCTTTTTTAATAATTCCTTCTGTATCTTTATATATATATATATATATATATATATATATATATATATATATATATATATATATTGTTAAATATTTAAACATAAATTATATATTATTAAAAATAAATTATATCATTTGAAATATCTCATCAAGACATTTAAAATAAGACTAATATTGAATATAATTCAATTAAAAATTAAATTACATAACATAATTAAAGTTGTAATTTATTAACACATCCAATTAAAGTGCAGAATTACAACTATATGTTATATTAAAATAATAAAAGTATAAATATAAACTTTTAATTTATGAGAATATAAATTATTTTAGTGTATGAATAAAATTTGGTGTAAATGGGTTGGAGATGAAAAATATTTGGTGTAAGAATATGTTGAGAATATTTCTTTTAGTGCAGAATTTGGTATTTTTGGTTGGAGATGGCCTATAATAGCCTTCATTCGAGAATACCATAGCCATGACTGTTTCGTAAACAATGTTTAAATTTGAATCTTCAAATGAAAAACTGAAGGGGGTCCAAGACTACCGTCATCTTAGAATTGAAAAAGATAATAATGGTTTCCATTAAAAAAAAAAAAAAATCATAGCAGTTTGACCATAATTGTGCAAGCGGTAACTAGTAAAATGTAAAGCCAAGTTAGGACACAACTCGGCAAATCTAAACCATTTTGACAACTATAGCTAAAAAAAAAAAAAAAAAAAAAGGCGGGGGGCGGGGGAGGGGGGAGGTTGGAATTAGGGATATCATTTGTCAAAATTTGTGACTCTACATACTGTTTTGGTTGCCATAGTTTGTCCCCTAACATTCACGTTTGGTCTATGGGGTATTATTGATTTATTGGTATTAACAATTGGTTTGTGGGGTATTAACAAGGACAATTGATGGAATTTGTGTAATCCCATTTTCTCTTCACAAACTACAATAATTGATGGTTTTGTCGAGTTCGAGTCCATCATAAACTGAGTATGAAAGTCTAGAATGAGGATAGGAAAATATTAGTTTTATTGTTTGGTCAAATATTGGTGTTCTTGTTAGAAGTCAGGATTAGTGACCAACAGGCTAAGATGTATTGTAAGGACCAATGGATGATGTCTTAAAAGGAAATAAGGGTGCTTATTTATAATGTAGAGGACTAGAGACCCTTCATATGCTCGACAAATGTACGACTCTAGGTTGCCTTCATTCTTGGTTATACATGTGTCCCCTCAATACTTGGATGCCAGCGATCTTCACACGGGTAAATAAAACATCCTACCTTCTAGCACATGATATCTTGAGTGGCTTGGGTGGTTGGTTGCTTGTGTTGTCACCCATAAGGTATAGGTCCGAATTCTGCTAGCTACACCTCTTTAATTTAGCATTATACCCCTGCTTAGCAATAAAAATGGACCCCCCTTAGGTCAAGACTTTCCTAATAAAATGGGCCCGGGTCCCATGGCCCCATCAATAACAATGAAGAAAGTAATAATACAAGAAAAATCACTTTCACATTGAATTTTTTTCTGCCATTTTTTTATTAGAAACCTCAACTAATTAAAAATAGTAAGTTTGTCGCAACTAGCAATCTTAAGGGATATTGAATTCTTGATTTGTAACTAATCTTATGTAACTATTTAAGTAATTGACCAATGTTGTCAAAGCGCTACCTAGGCGTCTGGGCATCGTCTTGGACGTCTAGCCCGGGTCTAACCCAGTTTTTTTTTTAAGGTTGTCAAATAAAACTGAACGCTCTCCTATTAGTAGGGACTCAACTTGTTTTCTCCAAATTGGAAAATTGGATGAGGTGAGTTTAATTGGGAAGTGGGTTGGGGCATAGAGTTGGATGATAGTTGTTTGAGGTGTTGCTTGAGGTGTAGCAGCCATGAGAAGTTAGAAGAGAGGAAAACATAGTAAAACAAAAAAAAAAAAAAACAAAAAAAAAATGAATTTGTTTGACCAGTGAATAATAAACATGAGAACAGATAAAAAAAAAGGACAGAAAGAGTATCATTTATCTTCAAAGATAAATGCTACGTTGCTCTAATGCTCTCTAATCACAATGTCTGAAAATTAATTGTATATCAACAACGAAAACATAGACACTGTAAAGAAAAAAAAACAAACAAACAAACAAACAAACAAAAACAAAAAAAAAAAAAAAACAAACAAACAACTAAAATTGTTGAACTATTGGATTGCATTCCCTCTAATTGCCCACCTTCAATCATCACATGAAAAATATCTGACACTTTTACTGCAACTAAAAATGTTCTCTGAAAGCAAACTTTTGTGGATTCAACACTGAATCCTCTTACTATGAAATCCAGATATCCAATAAATTAATGGTCATGCATATATCCCTGCATGGCTTAATTAGCTTGTGTTGTAAACTAGACTATAGACATCACTCGAACAGTCAAGGGTCATTTTTAACTACCCAGCAATCCTTTTTAGCTTTCTCACCAATAAGTTATGGACACAACACAAATGTTTCTTATGCATCTCACAGAACATATCTACAACACAAATGTTTCCTTGTGCATCTAACATATTTCGCTAATGCAACACATTTAGGGGTATGACGTGACAAAGTAGAAGTAGTAGTTTTAGCTCTTTTTAGGCTTAGGTTCTCCTTGTTCTATAGGAAGTGTATGTTCTTCAGAATTAAGCAATTCGAAGTTTAACTCTATTTCGCTATCATTACCAAAAGCACTGCCAATATAGTTGACACTAGGAGATGCCATTATGCTGCACAAAGGTTATCACTAACAAAATTATCACTGTTCACGGAATCACTAACAATTAACAAAATTATCAGTTTATCACTGTTCACAGAATCATGAACAATTAACAAAATTATCGTTGTTCACAGAATCATTAACAATTAACAGGTAACATTTAACATTATGTTCACAGAATCACAATTCAAGTGTTCAACACTTCAACATTATGTTCACAGTTCACAGAATCACAAAGCTTAGTTACTAAAATTGTTTAGTGAGAATGTAAGAGGGAGAAGGAGTGAAGGACGAACCACAGTAGCCAGTAGCGAGAGAGGCCGGAGCTGGCCGCGCGCGGGGAGCAGGTCGCCGTCGGAGACTTGGAGTTCGCAGTCGCAGCAGACCGGGAGAATTGGAGAAGGCCAAACCAAACTGGAGAACTGGAGTTCGCAGTCGCTGGTCGGAGCCTCGGAGGTCGCCGGTCTTCCGTCTTCGCTTCGTGCCTTCGGCCTTCGCGTTCGCACTTCGCTGAGAGTAGTCGAGAAGAGAGCCAGACAGTGAGAGACAGTCAGACGGAGAGATTAGGCGATTAGCTGATTATGTCTTCTTTAGAGTTTTTTGCACTTTTGGTCCCACGACTATAGTGACACTTGCAGAATTGATCCACGACTTTTGAATCTTGCAATTTTAGTCCACGACTATTGATTTTTTTGCAAATATGATCCTTCCGGCCACTTTTCTGTCAAAATTTCACCCAAAAAAAAAATTATTAATTTTTACCTGATGTCTTCGGATGATCCGGCAGACGTGCTGAGGACCATTTTAACCCGGCTAAAAATTGAGAATTTTTTTTCCGGTGAAATTTTGACGGAAAAATGACCGGAAGGACCATTTTTGCAAAAAAATCAATAATCGTGGACTAAAATTGCAAGGTTCAAAAGTCGTGGATCAATTCTGCCAGTGCCACTATAGTCGTGGGACCAAAAGTGCAAAAAACTCGTCTTCTTTAGGGATTGTGTGATTTGTGTCGACTACTCGACTTTACTGTTAAAAAAATAATAATAAATAAATAAATAATAAACCGGCCCGGATAATCCGCGGGTTACCCCGGACTCAAACCGTTTAACTCAGATAAAATTAGGGTAAAACAGGCTGGGTTGAGATTTTCAGAATAGTTATGCTGTGCATCAGAATGCACTATGCATGGTGCATACGGATGCAAAAACGACGTCGTTTTATTAAAAACTGTTGGAAAAAGTACTTGTAATCTGTAATACACTTGACATACAACAATAATACAGAATACAACAGGGAACAAAAACTGGATCATTTGCTATCTTCAGGCGCGTGTAATCACTTTCCTATACGCTTTAAATTTCCCTCAATAAAAGCAACAAGGTTCAAGATTTAATCTTATGGGATACAAGAAGATGAATGAAATTCTCAAGTTGCTTTGTTTGAGAATTTCCTGTAGAGATGTAAGCATGTGAAGTATCTTGGTTTCCTGCAAAATAATTGCTTGTAAAATTCATATGTAAAATTGTCTATCACTTTCAGATGTTTCTCCAATATATTTATAGATGAAAAATATATCTGTTTGGAGAAGTTACATGGAAGTTACTGTGATTTAAAACTCAACTTCCATAAGATAAGATATATCCTGATTGATATATCTATCACTGGAGAAATAATAAAATTATTTTGAGTACTGTATGCAAAATTATATACATATACATATATATATATATATATATATATATATATATATATATATATATATATATATATATATATTACGCATGAAAACATGCAAAGAATAAATATAAATAATATCCATATATGTAGTTCAATAATCTCAAGCATACAGCTACATATATCAAGCATGTTAAGTGTAACTTTGAAGCATATAGCTTCAAAATGCATAAATAGAAGAGCATATTCCAAGCACGTTAAGTACATATTCCAAGCACGTTAAATGTAGTTTTGAAGCATATAGCTTCAAAATTCCCCAAAACCTTACGCATGAAAATATCCAAACATGCATTAATACTCTCAAGCATATTAGCTATAACTCTCAAGCATATTAGCTATATATCACAAGCATATAGCTATATACTCTCAAGCATATTAACTATATACATTTCTCCCAGTATTTTAATTAACTTTCTACCAAACTAAAATAATATTTACAACTCCACAACTCCAAATATTATTTAAGCTTTCATGGTAGTTCATCTGAAACATTAATCTCCATTACTATATAAAATTTCAACATTCCTCCTCCATTTATATAGTAAAGACTAATACTTTACCAAGATAAATCCAAAACTCATGCATAAATGAAAGTGTCTTAGAGATTGAACTTTCACATAGTATTATATGCGTTACATTAATTCGGATTGCAGTGATGGACGAACCTTGAATCACGCAGTCACTTTGAAAAAACATAGATATAACACACACAAGTTTTACAGTCATTACAACTCACTGTAACTTGACACTATTATGGCCATGTTTCCGTATCCATTAATGAACACGTACCAAGTAAAGCTCAAACTTGTTTGAAGCGGCCACACTTCATGCTCACAGAGGCTAATCTTTTATATCATGCACTGCATCTTGCATTTTTTCAAAAGATCAGTTAAGAGTAAAAACTCATCCCTACAACAATGCAGAACCAAGCATCACCTTTTCTTTGGATACAATTTTAATTAAACTTTTGATGGTTGCAAATCACAAAATGAAGTACTCATCTACATTGAACTCAAGGTCTAACGTAATAAGTTAGACGTGAGTTGAGCTTTCCTTCACTTGCAATTTTAATTTAGGCTTTCCGTATCCCTTCCGATGAACCGTGTCCCTTGCAAGGACTCTTGCAAACGGATCCGTTAAAACCGGGACTGTACCAAGTCCAATGCTACAACACTATTACCTAGGATTTTCAACATAGCTAAATCTCAAGCCCATGTGCCTTCACTTGCCATTATAAACACTTGTTTATATGATATGGCCAGTGTAGTAGCATTGTCATAATGTACTAAAATGGTGACATCGGTTTTGGCCAAACCGGAATCTAAATAATTAAATTCCTTAGCCAATAAAATTCTTTTATGTCAAAGCCAACACAAGAAATTCATATGCCGTAGTTGAAAAAGCAACTTTGCTTTTAGAACCCATAAAACAACACCTCTTCCAAGTAGAAATATCCATCTATTAAATGAGGAACAAGTTTCATGATTACACATTCAACTGGCATTAGAATATCTTTTCAGGATGAAAATTTCTATTAAATATACTAAACCATAATTAATGGTTTTACTCAAGTATATCAAAATTCCTTTTAATCTCATCCACTTAGCCAACTGAACATGATGATAGATAGAATTTTAATATCCTATTAATGAACTGGTGAAATAAAATATTTAATTGATTATAACCGGAACCCACTTAATAGGTTCCTAATCAATAAATATTTATATCCTGCAAATTCTACAACCAAGAATTTCAATCATCATGTTGAACTTATTAGCAGTGAGTGTGAGTATTATTATTATTAATTGTATTTAATTTATATAACCTATGCTAGTTTTCTATGGCTAGAATAAGTCTACTGTCTGTATCCTATTAGATAGGAGTAGTTAGAAGTAGACTGAGATATACTCTCGTGTAATTCTATTTGTTGGTTAATTGAATTGAATCTCTGAGTTCTCATCTGGTATCAGCCTAAACACGATCCTCCACCACCCAAACGTTTCCCCCCTCCCTACCCATGTCGTCTAATTCCTCCGACCGTACCCCCTCTGCCGCCGGCGGGCCATCTCCGGCAAGTTTCAACCCCCTCGCCGGAGCTCACCATTTTATTTCTATGAAACTAACCTCTAGGAATTTCCTATTTTGGAGAACTCAGTTATTACCATTCCTTAGAGGTCAAGATTTAATTGGTTTTGTGGATGGAACCAACCCATGCCCGCCCGCCACGCTCACCACCGTGTCTAGCGATTCCGACACTGGCACCACGACCACGACTACCGTTCCCAATCCGGCGTACAAGTCGTGGACGCTACAGGATCAATCGATCCTTTCATTGTTGATATCCTCGATGTCGGACGAGGTTTTACATCTCGCGGTTGGCCGGGATACCGCCGCTGATGTTTGGAGATCAATCTGCACCGCCCTCGGCTCCAACACGCAAGCTCGTTGCCTGAGCTTGCTGGGGCAGTTTCAAGCCCTCCGGCAAGGTAACTCCACCCTGAGCGATTATCTCGGACGAGCCGAGCTCTTGGTGGAAGCGCTCGCGCAAGCCGGACAACCTTTCTCCATGGCCGAACAAAATCTATATGTTGTGCATGGTCTGAGGCTGGAGTATCGTGCGTACGCGGCATCCCTCACCGCCCATGCGCCAGTGTCGCTACTGCATCTTGCTGACCATCTCCAGGCCGCTGATTTCATCTTGGCGGACGATTTTTCGGAGACCGGCAGTGCAGCGTCGGCTGCTTTTTATTCTGGTCGAGGTCGCGGAGGACACCACCAGTCCGGCGGCTTCGCTCCGAGCAGTGCAGAAGGTGGCGGTGGTCGGCAGTCCCAGTGGCGAGGCGGCAGAAATCAGAGGGGCGGCCGGAATCAACGCGGGGTACCACGGTGCCAAATTTGCAGGGCGCAGGGTTATACTGCCGTTTACTGTTATAAACGGTACACGACTCAACCGCCCACGCAGGCCAATGTTGCAGTGTCCGGCGAGTCCCCGGGCACATCCGTCTCGGCCGAAACATGGTATCCTGACACGGGTGCCACGGCTCATGCCACTCTAGATGCCGGCATGATAACAGCCCAGGAGGAGTATAATGGTCCGGATACGCTCCGGGTGAGAAACGGTACAGGTTTAGTTATCTCACATGTTGGCCATGCATCAATCCCCACTGTTTCCAAACAATTATTCCTATCTGATGTATTACATGTCCCAAAATTAACTGTTCCTTTATTGTCCGTTCAAAAATTCGCTAAAGAAAATAGTGTGTTTTTTTTTAATTTCATGACAGCTACTTTATTGTGAAGGATTCCAAAACCAAGGCGGCGCTTCTTAAAGGCCCGACTTCTGGAGGTCTATACAAGCTTCCTGTGTCTCGGAGTCAATTTGCGTTCGTCAGTTCCCGGGCAACACCCACAACCTGGCATGCCAGACTTGATCATCCACATAGTCTAGTGCAAAATAAAATACTACAGCATTGTTCAGTTTCTCATGATAAATGTAGTTTCGGGTCTTGTAAGGCTTGCCATCTCGGCAAGTCCTCTCGTTTTCAATTAGATATATAGGATAAGTGAGTCCAGCAAAAATGTACTAGATTTGGTGTATACAGACATCTGGGGTCCTGCACCAGTTGTCTCGTCTAGTGGTTACCGCTATTTCCTTTTGTTTGTTGACGATCATTCGCGCTATTGCTGGTTTTATCCATTAAGGGTAAAATCAGACATTTATAAAATGTTTGATCTGTTTCGTGTGTTGGTAGACCGGCAGTTTTCGCGCTCTATCAAGTCTATACAGTCGGATCTAGGGGGTGAGTACCGCAAATTG